GTGTGTATATATGAATATATATATATATATACGTGTGTACACATCCGCCATCACGAAAGACGAAAGCTTCGGCGTAAATCCAAGCCCACCATACTAAGCCCTGCAACCGATCCTTCACCAGATGCCCTGCCCTGAACCCTACACCTAAGCCAAGCTCTGAACCGTAAAAATACTCCCCCCCTCCGCATGCAGCACAAGAGCCTGATTGGTTAGTGCTGGTGTTTTCTTGTAGTCCTCTCAAACTCATGAACAATGTAACCAACACTTAAGCAAGAGAAGATTGAAAGAAACCCGTATTTATTGTGTCCGAAAGAACCGAAGGGCATGTAATTTGGGGGGATGGTTAGCCGAAGGGTAGTGGGAACTTGGGGGCCTGCTCCCTGACTGATCCTGGTCGGTGGATGGTGTCTCTGTCCCTCACCTTCTCTATGCCTCTTTCATATCTGTCCATCCCTTCCGCTCTATCCTTATGTGAGATGCATGCTGACATCCATTGCGGGCACAAACCTCATCATGCTGCGCAGATCATCCTCGCCCAAAAGTGAAGCCCCTTTTGCAATGATTTGGCAGGGATCCCTGCCACTCCGGAACATCCCTGCGATCACTTTCCAGACTCCCTACAGAACTGTAGTTAATGAGTTGGGAGTTGTATAGGGTTGGAGATGACACGCGCGTAGTGTCATTGTGCCGTTGGCTCTCCGACTCTGTCCATACTCTGGAAAGTCAGGGGAGGCTGGGAGACGGGCATATCCATGCCCTAGGTGGCAACCATTCGCTGGATTATGCCTGTTTTGATGTATAGTCCAAGTGGTGGGTGAAGCAGGTTGGGCAACCACGTCTTGTGGTGTGCCATGTTATTGTTCGACTGCCGTCGTCGCAGATCTACACCAACCCGAAAACCATAATGTAGCGGCCTGAATGATTAGCAAGACTGTCCTTTAGGGCTCCCTCATAGATAGTTCATCGGGCCTTGTACACGGGGCTTTGTAGGCACAATGGTCTTGAAAGGATTTCTTTATAGAAGGGGTTCATGGACAGTAAAAAGAGTGGTTCCACGTGCCTTGAATCGGCTTCCACTCAATTTACAACGGTACTCAAGCATAAACCTATGTGTGCAGTGAAGCTCAGTAATGCCGAATGGCCTACAACGCCTTCTTGAAAAAGGTTTTACAAACCGACTTTAGAAGACATATCTCGCTCTCGCGAACTGTGTTCGAATCTGTTACTTAGGGGCTGAGTACCCTAGCCCAAAAAAGGGTTAACCTTTCGATTTATAGTAGGATTATATACGCCCCAAAAGGTTAAAGGTTGCCTACCCTGAACCCTAAACCCTAAACCCTCAACCCTACTCAACCCTTGGGGTTAGCTTACATCCAACCCTCGGGTTTGAGCCTAACTACAAGTCCAGATACGCATAGCCGCAGCTTCGATCGTTGCTTCCGGCAGCATCTAAGGCTTGCTGGTCCAGTTACCTAAGGGAACTCAAGTTTTTAAACCTTTGGCCTTAGATGGCCATTGTAGTACCCCAACGAAGTTTAAACGTTACCTACTCTACTAGTAAGAAGGAGACTGCAGCTGTTCTTGGAGAAGAGGATGTAGTTAGGATTAGAGAGGGCCCTTGGGTTTATAGACCCTCTCAATAAGGTCCCTTTCGAGAGAGCCAGAAGTAGGGTTAAGAAGGGTCCCCCTTAAGGGGTCTCAGAATACTACCTACTAGGACTATACAAATGAAAACCCAACCCTAAACCCTAAACCGCTGGGCTATACTTGACTGTTTTGGCGCTGGGGTCTGGGAGTCTCGTGCTACAGTAGAGCTTAGCCTTCAGCTCTGGTTCAGTCTCAACCAGTTAATATAGATTAGAATAGGGTTCTGGGGTGTAAAGGAACCACCCAAAATAATATTGATAAACATTGAGGCCCCTATATACATTAGGTCTAGAATTTGTTCAGTTTGCTTTGGGTTGTCTTTCTCAGAGCTTCATGCTGTAGCGCGTCCATTCTGCATGTGCAGTGCATGCTTCTGTGTGGGTAATGTACCCAAAATAATATAAGTAATTATTTTGGGCCCTACATTAGTGTTTATGTGTCCAGTTTGCTTGGGAGCCTTATAGTGGCAACCGAAAAGTTAACAGGATCAAAACGCAATCCCTAAACTTTAAAGCCAAACCCTGAATCCCGAACGGCCCCAAACGGCCCTAAACCCTCAACTCTCAAGCAACTTAGCGGCTCCAAAGCAGTAAATCCACTTAGGGTTTAAGGTTGACTGGCCCTTTAAAGCCTTTGAAAAACATTGGCAAATAAAATCCTCTTAGGCCCAGTAAGGGGAAATAGAATATGCCCGAAAGGCCTACCTAGATGAGTATGGCCGTAAAGAGCCATCTACGAGGCTTTGGTTATATAGGATTTGTGGTACCCCAAAACAATTAAAGGTGACCCCTAAACTTTGATAACCAAATTGAACTCAAACACATTCAATCCGCCGAACCCCATAATGAACCCTTTGCCACGACTCTTCATAGCCAAATCGAACGAAGACGCCAGCCCTAATCCATCACGCAGTGCTGAGCTCAACACCCATCAGACAAATCTCGAACCTTCGATCCCAAATCCTGTCTGAGCCGTACTCAACGCAATGTGAAGGCTTCAATATTGGAACAAGGTTTTCGGTGTACAAGAGACCATACTCGTACTAAGGAACCCTAATAACGCGTTTAACTACTTATCCAGGCTTCTATACCACATCCTGAAAGAACCCTAAACCGTAAGCTTAAGTCCACCACTTAGAACTTGTTCTAGATGCTGACTGGTTTTCGTGCTCTGCTTGCAATGGCCAGCACAGCTTAGTTGTGAACAATCCGAAGCATCCACATGTAACCCTTTCAAAACTGGCATAATATAGGGGCCTAAATGATTAGAAAACGGTTTTTGGGGCCCATTATACTATAATTATAATAAGGAGCCCCCAAAATAGTATTGGGAAATATTTAGGCCCCTGCACTAAGGGGTTTCAGGGTCTAGGGCTTTTTACGGTTTATAGAGTCTCCAATGGTCTCTTAAAAGCACCTCTGGAAACTTTAGAACCCACTCAACTCTAATCCCTGAACTCCTAAACCCAAAACCCTATACCTAAACCCTAAACCCTAATCCCTAAACCCTAATCCCTAAACCCTAAACCCAAACTCAAACCCCTACTTATAACTAAGCCCCTGCACTCCACACCACATGTCAGCAACAACCGACCTCCGCCTGCAGTGCTTGCAAGAGCTTCGGTAGACCGCTGCCAAGAACGACGTCCATCTCTTGCTCCAGCTCCTGGGCATGCGGCCCCCAGAGGCTCGGTTTAGGGGTTTAGGGTTTAGGGTTTAGGGTTTAGGGTTTAGGGTTTAGGCTTCAGGGTCTAGGGTTTAGGGTTTAGGGGTTTAGGGTTCCGGGTTTACGAGTTTAGGATTTAGGGATTTGGGGGTTTGGGGTTTCGGGTTTTTCGGGTTTTTCGGGTAGCCTAAACCCTAAATCCCTAAAATTCAGAGGCTTTTCTACGTAAGCTGCTCAGTTTCTTATATAGTGATGTGAGGGATTATACGAGGTTTGCAGACGTTGGTAGGGTTCAGAAGCGGTAACCGAAGTGTACAAGCTCCCTGGCTAGTCTGTCATGATTGGGCTGAAGGTTTCGGGTTTACGGGTTTCAGTGCCACGGAACGGGTTGATACTTGTGATGATGACAGAGTCACCTTCGGAATAACGATAGCCCAGTTTATAACAAGAGTCTACTAGTGTCATTATGGTTGCTATGTAAAGTAACCCTAAACCCTAAAGACCATACCCTAAACCCTAAACCACAAACCACTAAACCCTAAACCCTAAATCACTAAACCCTAAACCCTAAATCACTAAACCCTAAACCCTAAATGACTAAACCCTAAACCCTAAATCACTAAACCCTAAACCCTAAACCCCAAAAGGGCTCAACATCCTGCCGCTTTTGCTTTTGGTCTAAGGCACAGGATTTAGAGGGCAGAGTTGAGGCTGCTAGGATTTCCTTCAAGCCATAACTTGGGATGTGAGAGAGACGCCATAACTTGGGATGTGAGAGAGACTTGCGAGGAGTATTCTATCTTAATACTACCCATAGGCCCCATAGTAGTCCCTTTTTGGGATTACCTAATAGGATTCCCATATGAACCCCAAAAAGGAACTACTACGGGGCCTATGGGTAACTATATTCCCTAGGGTTCCAACTATCAATCCCCATTTTCATTACGCTCAACCTCCGCATCCTTTCACTCCCTATAGATCGGACGTCCTCCACGAACCTCCGACAACACAACGTAGCGTCACCCAACCCTAAGGGTCCAAGTAGTCCTTATTCATGGTTTTATGTACCCAAAAAGGCCCCAAAGTCCGGAAATAATGGGCACTTGGACCCTTAGGGCAAGAGCACAACCCTAAAAGGCATAAGCAAGGTGTGGATGCACCTGTGGTCATGCATGTCATGCTTGGATCTCACCCTGAGTCCTGAGCACACTTTCCCCCTTTCAGGGGCCACCGGGGGGGTTACAAAATCCGCTGAACCACTGAATTCCTAAATCCATCCTGCAAACCCCTGAACGCTGAAATCCTGAAAACCCGAAACTCAGCAGAACCCCTATACCCTAAACCCCTAAACCCTAAACCCTAATACAACCGAAAACCTGAAACCCCTACACCTCGAAAACCCTGGACCCGAAACGCTAAACATGGACCCCTTTAAGGAACCCCTTAAGGAACACTTTAACAAGGAACTCTTTAAGAAGGAACTCCGTAAGGAATCCTTGCGGGAACCCTTTAATTAATCAGGAACCCTGTAAGGAACCCTTTAAGGAGGAACCCTGTAAGGAACCCTTTAACGAGGAACCCCTTAAGGAACTCCTTAAGGAACCCGTGTCTTCTTTGGATGGTCAACCCTAAACCCTAAACCCTAAACCCCTGAAGGAACGCGCGTCTTCTTTGGATGGTCGAGAGGCGACCTCCCGCTCCCCGATCTGCTGGGTGGTGGCAGCCACGAGCTCGCGCATGGCGGCCAAGTGCATCTGCCTTCTTCTAATAAAAAGGGGCCAAAATAAGGTTTAGGGTTTAGGGTTAAGGGTTTTAGGGTTTTAGGGTTTAGGGTTTAGGGTTTAGGGTTTAGGGCCTTAATAATTACCTATATATTATTCTGGGGTTCCTTACTATAATTATAGTTTAAGAGGCTCCAAGACCCTCGTCTAATTATTCAGGCCCCCTATACTAGTGACTAGTGGCTTTGGGGGTTTAGGGGTTCAGGGATCTCAAGGGTTCCCTTAGAGGGATGATCTACAACGGGGGTCCTTCTTCTCTCGTCTTTAGGGTTTTAGTGGTTGAGGCTTGAGGGTCGCAGTGGTTCATCCGGGTTCAGGGTTTTCGGGTTTGGGGTTTTGGGCCCTAAACCCTAAACCCTAAACCCTAAACCCTAAACCCTAAACCGGCTTTAGGGCTTTAGAGAGCTTTAGGGCTTTCGGGTTTAAGGTTTTAGGGTTATTAGGGTCTAGGGCCTTCTTCTACTGGTGTTCAGGGCTTAGGGTGTAGTAATTTAGGGTGTAGGGTTATAGTGGTGTTGCGATATATTTTATAGTACTTTGAAGAGCGTAGCATCTGCTTCGAAGGGTATGGCTTTACAGAAATTTGAATTCGAAGTCTGGTTTTGGGGGGTACAGTATATCCATTTCTTTGCCAAAACGGTGTGTAAATATATACATATATACACATATAACATAACCTTAGGAGCTAGAATGGAGACTATAGATGCAATTTTCTTACAGGACTTTGTAGAGTGTTGGGCTTGTGAGATTGGATGGATCTTTGATGGCTTTTCTGGATTTTGAAACGGTTTAAACCGACGTTTATGCTGCTGCTATAGGGTTTATGAAGATGTTAAAGGCTGGGAAATGTTTCAGGGTTTTAGCATGGGCTTTAGGCCTTAATTGGCCGAGCCGCTGCTGCTTGTACAGCTCACGGAAGAGCGGCGCATTTCGAACGTCGGGAGCACCTAGCGCAGAAAAGCGCGACCAGCGACAGATCGAGGGGCCCAACAGACGACAAAGAAGCCTGAGCAACTATCAGTATTAACTATTCCTGAGGGTTCCTCATTAAATATATTTTGAATAGATACTATACTGCGGAACCCCCACAAGCCTGTTCCAAGTACTACGGCCCCTACTTTGATCAACTATGGCAAGGCTTTGTTCACGAAGGTCTCGGCAAAACCCGGAGCAAACACACAAAATAACCTTGCCGGTTCTGGAGGTTCGATGATCTGAAGCCTGTTCGAGGCTGGCTTAATGAGGCTATGAGAGCTGCAAGCGTCCTGGAAGGAGGGGTTAGGGCAAATGAGGCGGTACTATGTATATCTAGGCACCGAGGTTTAGGGTTTCGGGTTGAATAGACTTCACAGCCTTCGCCATACAGGGTTCTAGGTCGTAGGCTTCAAACTTTAATTTAGACCGTAAGGTTACCCGACAGCCAAAATCCTTTCAGCCTCTGTTCAGTGACATTGAAACACCAAAAAACCCTACAAAGGCAAAAATAAAGCCTTCTAGAATCCCTGAAAGCGCGCCTGTGGCCGTGAAGAGGGGCGGCACCGGTTTGCCGCCCTCTGGACCCCGAAGCTTATGGGCGATACCCATCAGCTCCAGCTGAAGCTCCTTGCCGGGTTTGTATAGGGTTTAGGGTTTAGGGGTTTAGGGGGGTTTGGTCAGGGTTTGAGGGGTTTGTAGGGCTTGTAGGGTTTACGGCGTCAAGTGTTTGGTTCTTGCGCGCGCTTAGGGCCCTTAACCCGCTGCCCCTGCTGTCTAAGGTTTTTTGGGGCTTGAAGCCCACAAGTTGAGAGGGGTGTATATGGGTAGTTCTCTAAATTAGGGTCCCTTTTAGGGTCCTTTTTATAAGGATGCCGTACGAGATTGGGACCTAAAAAGGGACCCTAATTTTGAGAACTACTCATATTCAGAGCTTTAGCTTTCGATCCCGGAACCCTAAAGCTTATGAGCCTTAAACCCCTTAACCCGTAAACCCTCAACCCTATCGCCTTATATTGGAGGCTTTAGGGAATCTGAGACTCTCAACAAACCGTTTTTGTTTTTTGCGGATTTAGGGCTTAGGGTTTACAGGGTTTAGGGGTTAGGGTTTAGAGTTTAGGGGTTTTGGGGCTTAGGTTTCAAGACAATAAGGCTGCTCCGTATCAAAGCTCCCAAGGTTTACAGGCCCAACACAGGTACACAAGCTAAAGCCCACAACGCTGCGCCAATCCTAGACCTCCCCCCTCCCCACCCCATACAAACAAACATAATATTAAAGGAAACCACAGATGGGGAGTTTGGGGTTTTTTAGGGCTTCTACAAGTCTATAAGGCTTCTATAAGGCTCTTATAACGGTAACTACCCACCTGAACATGTCCTGGACAATAAGCCCCCAAAGCCCCAACAACAATAAAGCGGACTGCACCTTCCGACGCTGCTCCGCCAATATTCGCTTGTGGCGAACAGCCGCAAAGCTCGGCCTCGCAGGCTCCAATTCAGGGTTTAGGGTTTAGGGTTTAGGGCTTAGGGTTTAGGGTTTAGGGTTTAGGGTTGAGGGTTGAGGGTTAAGGGTTTAGGTTTTGAGGGTTCGTTTCAGGGTCTTGAAGGGGATCCTTTAAGGGCTGCAGCAGGAAGTTTAGCGTTTAAGGTGATCACGAGAAAATATCAGTGTAGCTGCTATTGTTGTGGTTATCAGCTTTTGCCGTTGTCATCCCTTTTTTCTAGAGATCGTTACTTCCACAAGTAGTAGTTCTAGTGCTAGTGGTAATGCTTGTGATCGTCGTAGTCGCAGTGATAGTAGTAGCAGCAGTGATGCCTTTCCTTCGGCCTGTGGATTGGGAGTCTAGGGTTTAGGGTTTAGGGTTTAGGGCTTAGGGTTTAAGGCTTCCAGAGTCCAGTCTAAGGCCCTACAAGACCCCACGAGTCTTTGGTGTAATATAGGGGCCTTAAGCATTAGAATAGGGTTTTGAAATTGGGGTCTAGTATACTATAGTTATAATAAGGAACCCGGCAAAATAGTATTGGTTATTATTTAGGCCCCTATATTAGTTCCTAATGACCTCTGCGTGAGGGCTCTGAGAGCCGCGGAAAAAGTACTTTGGGGATTCGCTAAAGCTGAATCCCGAGCAGAGAACACAGACTCTAGAACGGTTGAGCAACCTCAACGTCGCGCATCTTCTATAATGTAGGGGCCTTAATAATTAGAATGGGGCTTCAGGCTCCTTTATAGTATACTTATAATAAGGAACCCTATGGAATGATATAAGGTAATTATTTAAGCTTCTATATTCACCGCATTGTGCGCCAAGCCCAAACCCCCGAACCCCGAACAACCGAACCCGCCAAGCTCAATATCTACTCAAGGTCAACATACCCGCCGTCTCAGGACCGTATGAAGCCCAATAGAAGCCTGAAAGTAAACCCCAATCAGGCCTAGCATCCCCACCCTAAACCCTAAACCCCGAACCCCAAACCACCCTGAACCCTAAACCCGGAGCCCTGAACCACCCTAAACCCCGAACCCCAAATCCTAAACCCTGAACCCTGAACCACACTAAACCCTAAACCCTGAACCGCAAACCCTAAACCCTGAACCCTGAGCCCTGAACAACCCTAAACCCTAAACCCTGAACCCCAAACCCCAACCCTGAACCCTGAGCCCTGAACCACCCTAAACCCTAAACCGTAAACCCTGAACCCCAAACCACCCTAAACCCTAAAGCATAAGCCCCGACCAACCCCCTAAAGCCCGATAAGCACCTGGAGCCGTCCATGCGCCTTTGCTTCAAGTCCTTCAGTCTTGCTTCTATGGAACATGGGTTTAGGGTTTATGGTTTCGGAACATAGTCTAAGGGCTTGAAGCAGCTTGAGGGTTTTTGATATAGCCCGTTCATAAAGGCCCTACGTCCTAAACCCTAAACCCTAAAAACAGGTTTCAAAGGGTCTTATAACGGTCTTCTGCGCTTGCGAGAGCACTGCGATCTTTCTGGGCTTGAGGGCTTGATATAGGGTTTAGGGTTTAG